CTAAATAATAATAAATGGGAGCAGCAATCTGGCAGCTTCTAGAGCACAGCTCGTCTACTGCGGACATAATTTTTGGCAGTATAGAACCATGATTGTCAAACTGCACAGGACTACTGGGCACACACACTGCTGTTAATCTGGTGATTATAGAGGGAAGAGTGCTTTTTCAAAGTAAAATGACAGCTAAGATAGATGCGAAAGCCAGATCCCATCAGATCTCAAACTGTGCAGTGCAGGGCAGGGCCTGGTTAGTACTGTGATCACCCGCATTGCCTAGAAGGAGTCTGGTGTGAGTGAATGGCTGGCGGTGGTCAGAGGGGGCAATGGCACATACACATACAGCTGAGGCTGAAGTAGTTTTTTACTGAAGTAGTTTATTACCACTGTATTCGGAGTGAATAAATAATGACATGTGAGGTGTCTTTGAGTGTCCAATAAAAGAACTATATAAAACCAATGCATTATTAGAATATTTTTCATTGCCATGTAATTAATAGGAAGTCAGAGACTAGGAAATTGCTTTGGCTCTCGGTGTAACACTCAAAGAAGAGAGGTAAAGAATAGAGTAAGGCATAATAATCAGAATAAACTAACGTATAAAACTTAAAATTATTACAATTTACTATGTACTAGAGGTGCAACGATCGATTGGTAGCCGATTATAATCGGCCGATCACAGTTTAATTTGTGTGATCTGTGTGTTCGCTCGTCAAAATTGCGTAAACAAGCAACTCATGCAGCTATCATTAACGGAGATTCTACAGCGGCAACATCCAGTAATGACGTAAGAAAGACCACGAAATATTATGGGGTAAGGTTACTGTCAATAAAGCCAAGCATGTCTAAATAAAATGCGTGCATATTTATTGGTATTTGTGCATACAAATACTTAATTCATGATTAAGATAATTACGAAATTCCATGTCTTTTTAGTTTGTATTAAGAATAAAGAAATATAAAACTATGTGTGATTTTGTACTTGTGAATGCGATTTTTTTGTGGGCTTGCATTTTCTTTTTGAGAATACGAATTTCAGCAGTGAGCAAACTGTCAATATGACGTCACTGCTCACAGACATTAACAATCGAGCCTGCGCAGAGTTGATCCACTTCATTGCCTAAAACCTAAACATGGCAGAGGGACACAACATAAATAAAGTGGCTCAAAATCAGGTATATAACTATATTTTATCATTTTGGTTGTAAATGAATGTGTAAGAAATATTAATTCCATAAATGTGTTCATAGCTCCTGGCCCGGACCACGTGTCTCCGGCCACTCTGAGACACTGAGCTTACTTTTCACATTTTCAACACCTCTCTGCAGTCCTGCCATGTTCCGGCCTGCTTCAAATCCTCCATCATTGTCCCCGTCCCGAAGAAGCCCAGGATCACAGGACTCAACAACTACAGACCTGTAGCACTTACGTCTGTCGTCATGAAGTCATTTGAACGCCTGGTCCTCTCCCATCTCAAGTCCCTCACCTCCCCCCTCCTGGACCCCCTGCAGTTCGCCTACAGAGCCAACAGATCTGTAGACGACGCCATTAACCTGGCCCTCCACCACATCCTACAGCACCTGGACTCCCCGGGGACCAGGGTCCTGTTCGTGGACTTCAGCTCTGCCTTCAACACAATCCTGCCATCCCTGCTCCAGGACAAGCTCTCCCAGCTCAACGTGCCCGATTCCACCTGCAGGTGGATCACTGACATCCTGACGGACAGGAAGCAGCGAGTGCGTCTGGGGAAGAATGTCTCGGACTCTCGGACTATAAATACAGGAGCTCCACAGGGCTGTGCTCTTTCTCCCCTGCTCTTCTCCCTGTACACCAACCACTGCACCTCCAGCCACGACACCGTGATCAAGTTCGCGGACGACACCACCCTCATTGGACTCATCTGAAACAACGATGAGTCCGCCTACAGGTGGGAGGTGGACTGGCTGGTGTCCTGGTGCAGTGGTAACAACCTGGAGCTGAACGCTCAGATGACAGTGGAGATGATTGTGGACTTCAGGAAGAGCACTGTCCCCCCGCCCCCACCCTCCGTGATGGACTCCCCCATCACCTCTGTGGAGTCCTATTGTTTCCTGGGCACCACCATCACCCAGGATCTCAAGTGGGAGCCGACCATCAGCTCCCTCATCAAGAAGGCCCAGCAGTACTTCCTGCGGCAGCTCAGGAAAGCCAAGCTGCCTGCACAGATGTTGGCGCAGTTCTACACGGCCATCATCGAGTCCATCCTCACTTCCTCCATCACCGTGTGGTTTGCTGGAGCCACAGTCAGGGACAAACAGACTACAGCGCATTGTGCACTCTGCAGAGGAAGTGATTGGCCGCAGCCTTCCATCGCTGCAGGACCTATACGTCGCCCGAGCTCGAGGCCGGGCTGGTCGTATCACAGCCGACCCCATGGACTATTCCAACCACTCCCCTCAGGCAGAAGACTGCGGTCCATCAGGACTAGAACTTCCCGCCAAAAGAACAGTTTCTTCCCCTCTGCTGTTGGACTCTTGAACACTTCTTAACCTGTCCCCCCGCCCTTTATAAAGTCACTTTACTGCCCATAATACGTCACCTTACTTCACTGTACTGCTGTCACTTTACATTGTGTGCACCATGTGCACTTGTACATTGTAAATAGTAACTAACTCTTTTAAATGTATTTGTTGTTTTTTATTCTTTATTTCTATTCTTTATTTTTATTATCTCTTTCTGACTGTTGCACTGAGCCAAAGCAATTTCCAAGTCTGTGACCTCCTGTTACTTACTTGGCAATAAAAATGATTCTGATGAAGATGTTTCTTGTCCATCTAAAAGGTTTGTTTGGCAGTGATGTTAGCTCCAATGCTAGTTTTATTTTCTTATCCTTATATAGTCTACAGAAAATAATGCATTTATTTTAGTCTAAACAACAGACTAACTAGCGTTACTGAACTCATGAGTAAAAGTAATGTGTCAAATTTACTCACAAATATAAGATTGAGGCCCACAGGGTGCACAGGGTCTGCTAAGTTTATAAACCAAGGATGAGTATAGCACGGAGGTGAACTTCATATTGCTCAGGGGCAGTAACAGCGCAAACTATGAATCATCTGGAGGGTTGGGGCTGGTATCAACACATTAGCCACATCGATTCAGGGCAAAGGCTTCATAAAATGTAAATGCTAAGAATGTAAAAATTTTGGTTTTAAAATAACATGGTAAGCTGTAAAACTAGCATTGAAGCTAGTGTTAACTAAACACTGACTAAAAAAACGTTTCTAGAGAGGGACAAGAAACATCTTATGAACACATTTTATCGAATTAATATTTCGTACACATTTGTTTACGACCAAAATGATCATATATAGTTATTTACCTGATTTTGAGCCAAATTGTTAATGTTGTTGCCCTCTGACATGATCAACTCTGGGCAGGCTCGATTGTTAATGTCTGTGAGCAGTGACGCATTATTGACAGTTTGTTCACTGCTGAAATTCGTATTCTCAAAAAGAAAATGCAAGCACAAAAAAAAAAAAAAAAAACTTGTATTCACAAGTACGAAATCACAGTTTTATATTTTTTTTATTCTTAATTATGAAATTCCATGTCTTTTTAGTTTGTATTATCTTAATCATAAATTAAAAAAAAATTATGCACAAATATCAATAAATATGCACAATTTTTTTTTAGACATGCACGTCTTTATTGATAGTAACCTTACCCCATAAAATATGCACGAAAGTTATAGAATTTATTCCCCTCTGCCACCAGCCCTTGTCTATTGTGGAAAGCCCTGGGTTCAAACGGCTCATGTTCACTGCTTCAATATGCCATCGCGGAGATATTTGACTGATGTCTGCCTGCTGCAGCTTTACCAAACTGTATATTCTCACATTGACACTCCAATCCCAGCCGGAGCATGGATCTATTATAATAACGAGCCAGAGTCACACCGCGCAGACACAGCACACACACTGAACACACTCAGCAGCGAGGCGCTGCAGTCAGGCAGAAACACCCCGTGTCAGGACTTTGCATGTTATCTTCACAGAAATACTGAATCAAGATGAGTGTAGTGGTAGGTACAGACAGTCCTACAGTGTCGCAGATTTAGCGTTACTTCCTACGTAGTTGCGCATCGGAGCAGACAGCCGCTTGTTTATTGGAAGGAAAATAAAAACTGCTTCCCTCCTTTGGCCAAAGCAGCGTCTTTCCTCTGCGCTCCATGCACAAGTGTAGACAGTGAGAGTTTAGCGCAGCGGGACTATTCAGGATGATAAACGTAATAAATAATATTCCTGAAGAACAAACATTGCCTTATCTATCTCTTTTTAATCAGTTGAGAAATGCAGCATTGCTGTATTTCATTGCATTTGTTTAATGTATCTCAATGCTCTTTAACTTTATACTTTTTGTCTTGAGTACCCTAGGGCATTTTATTTATACTACCTAGTACCTTGATGGTTTTGAAAGATTAGTTATAAAGTGAATAACTAGTCCTATTCATTTATCGCTAATATTTTCAGTATTTGACTGGATCAGCAATGATCGGTATCGGCCCGTCAAAATTTTAATGATCGTGATCAGCCAAAAAAAATCCTGATCGGTGCACCTCTACTATGTACAATATGCAAGTGCACTTGGTGTACACACACTATGCAGTAAGCAGTGCAATAAGGTGACAGCAGCAAAGTGAAGTTATGATGGGCAGAAGGTGGCTTTATAAAGGGCACTAAAGTGACTCCATAAGGGGCAGTTAAGTGACTTGTAAAGGGCGAGGGGGCAGGTTATGAAGTTTTCATGAGTCCAACAGCAGAGGGGAAGAAACTGTACTTATGGTGGGAGGTTCTGGTCCGAATGGACCGTAGCCTCCTGCCTGAGGGGAGAGGTTGGAACAGACCATGTGCCGGATGAGAGGGGTCAGCTGTGATACGACCAGTCCGGCCGTAAAGTACCAACAAATAGACATAGTTGAGTGGTTAGATGACTATAATTAATATATGAAAGACATAACTGACCTGCTTCTCGACAGCCGCTTTGCTTTCCTCTTTGGATCCAGACGCAAGGGTCTCATTCAATGATTGCAAACTGGAAAGTGATGGAAGCATTTAGCAGAAACACTGGACACACTGGAGTCCACATATTTGTCATTCACCTGGTGAGTTCCAGCCGGTCACAAAGTTTCTCCACTTCCTCCAACATCTTCACACTGTCCACCTCGTTATCAGAAAAGTAATTCCAGTTCTACATGAGACAAGAACATTACATTTGTGCACTGGATTTAATTATTGCTTAATTTGTCATTAAACGATGGTGTGAAAAAACTACACCTAAAATGAAGGTAAACAGTACAGGATAATAGTGCTTAAGGCTGGTCACCCCTGATGAGCTAGCCTGGTTGTACCACACCTTAGTACAAGTTACATTTCATACTAAGGTCTGGATTTGCTCCATTGAGCTCCGTGAACAGGTGGGAGGGGTTAACTGTTAACGGTTGTCTGCTTGCCCGGGGCAACTAAAGATTTGGGACAGGCAAGTGCGCCGTTTTAACTCATTCACTGCCAGCCATTTCAAAAGCAGCATCCCTCATACTGCCAGAGATTTTGGACATTTTTAGTGTTTTTCCGAACCGCATAGAAATGTGAGCCCTTGGTTGACACAAGTATGACACATACCAAATGAAAGCTCTATCCCTTGAAGTAAGTTTCTAACCCTTTTAGTTTTTTAGCAATTGAGGGTGCAACAAAAGTAACTTTCACACAAAATGCTTTTTCCTGACCAAGATTTGGAGAAAACAGCCTTTTTGTGAAACGCGCATTTCAGTTTTTTTGTCTTTACTGATATTTTACAATGTATGACAGTTTCTTACTATGACACAAAACAGAAACAATACTTTGAATTGTATTTTTAATGTATAATTATTTTTAAACAAATTAAACGTGTACACACAATACTCTCAAAGGATTGTCTTATGTACACATACAATATTCAACTTGTATACAATAAAAACACTTTGTATACAAATATACAGTAAAAATAACACTTTCTGAACACTTTGTGAAACAATTTCACTTTAGTTTATAAAGAATAGAAATTAGGTGACCCCACACTCTGCTGAAGTGTGGGGTGGAATCTACTTCCTCCGCACTCCCAATACATTTCCAGATTAGTTTTTTTTTTTTTTTACAAACCCAGAAAGAAATGTCAAACCAAAAAAGGTTTTTAGCGGCAGACTGTCACTGGCTTCCATGCATTTTCTCTGCTGAATGGGAGAAGCTGTGTGTGTGCACTGAAATATTGTGCTGCATACAGCTTTGTCTGTTCGACAACAAGATCCAGGATCCAGCAGTTCATCAGTTATGAAGAGCTGCAGAAGTCAGCTGCTGATCCAAATCAAGCTCTGCTGCAGCATTTTGGGGTCCTGGGGTCAACAATCTACAACACACAGAAAAATATAAAATCACGATACATTTTCACATTATAACAAGTGTTTTGGCTTCAGCAGCTATGACATTGAGATAAAATAATCTCTTCAATACTCGCTAAAAACGCTACTTTATGTTTATTTTTACTATAGTATAAGCCAGTGATTGCTATAGTCACTCCCTCCTGAATCTCTCAATGTTTGAACGCAAAATCACGCAGACTCCGGGATCAGAGCAACAGGGAGAGAATCAGTCGCTCTCTAACACTTGTTGCTCATCATGGGTCCCGCTCACCGGTCTGCCATGGATCACCTTCCCCCGTCCCTTCTATAAACCACACGGTAACATCATCCATAGCTCCCTGGTAGCTAATGCTGCATGCTAGATTCAGACGCCTCCAAACTCAACAGGGAAACTTTTGGAAAAATGTCCCGCGTAATCAAGCATTTATCCCGCAATAGTCATTCATCAATCAACAATTGCGCGCAAAATCCTGGAGGGGCTGATAGTACATTAGACAAAGAGGAGAAATAAACTCGTAAATGCAACATGTTGAAGTGAAAAGCAACTTACCACATTACGACGGGGGGAGGAGCCGCTGCTGCTGCTGCCGCCGCTGCTACTGCTGCTGCTGGACGATCCTGGAGCCTCATGTTAGCTAAAACCGGAAGAACTAGAATCGTGGCATCTAGCTGCTTCATATTTATCCGTTTGATGACTGAACAGGCTCTCAAACAGCGTTAGCTGCGTGAGCTTTTCAGATCCGCAGTCCTTTGGGTAACAGAGGAGCAGCCATGCTTACACACTCACAGCACCACATGCCCCCTTCTCCCTCCCTGGATCTGGCCACAGTGTCACCTCTGCCCCCTACAGGATCGATTCCAAAGTGTTTACAGGTCTGAAATGTTGACACAGGATGCACAAGAGCCTTGACGAGCCTTAGAAAGAAAAAAACAAAAAAAGCAATTGACGTCTATAGACGTCAATTGCGGTGAATGAGTTAAGCAAGTTGCCCGATCGGGCAAGTGATGTTTTACTTAATCCCTTTCAGGCCGGGAACACATTTCTTCATCTGGAGCCGGGAGCGGCTCCGTTTATCTTTTATAACTAATTATCTTCATTGATAAATTCTCTGGATCAATGAAATGCATCTGGAAAAGCCAGGAATTAACATTTTCCGCGTAATTTCTGTTAAATGTGTGACCGCGGGAACTTGCTGTTGTTTGCATTACATACTCAAACGGCATTCACATCCTCCCTTCTGAGCCCAGAGCAGCGGTGGCCGCTTTGTACGGACCGCCGCTATGACAACACCTCCGTGAACGCACATCCGTAACTTGGTAACAAGCGCGGACCATAGACGCCGCGGACAGAACCATAGAGGCCGAGGGGAGGACCATAGAGGCCGAGGGGAGGACCATAGAGGCCGCGAACAGGACCATAGACGCCAGGGCAGGGCCATAGACGCCAGGGCAGGGCCATAGTCGCCAGGGCAGGGCCATAGTCGCCAGGGCAGGGCCATAGTCGCAAGGGCAGGGCCATAGTCGCAAGGGCAGGGCCATAGTCGCAAGGGCAGGGCCATAGTCGCAAGGGCAGGGCCATAGTCGCAAGGGCAGGGCCATAGTCGCAAGGGCAGGGCCATAGTCGCAAGGGCAGGGCCATAGTCGCAAGGGCAGGGCCATAGTCGCAAGGGCAGGGCCATAGTCGCAAGGGCAGGGCCATAGACACATACACATACACTTTATATTCAGTGTATGTGTATTTATATTACATTGTATCGTGCTTTTTATTCTGTCGGTGCACACAGAGTACCTCTTTTTGCATGTATTTCCAATGTAGTTTTACTGCACATGGCCAATAAAATGAATCTGAATCTGAATCTAGACTCTGCGGACAGAACCATAGAAGCGCAGACCGAACCATAGACACGAGGGCAGGACCATTGACACGTGTTTAAAACCATCCCAGTTTGCTGCAAGCATGGGTCTCCATCTGGTCTCCCCCCAAAGAGCAACCAAATTCACAAAATTGAAGCTCGGGTACCTAAAATTTACCCATACATTTCACAATGCATGTTGGTTGTGCACCAAAGTAAAATGTTGAGAACAAATCCAATAGAACACATCACAACATTTATTTTGCATACTTAAGAGCCCTGGGAGTCATTATTTGACTTTTTGGGCAGAGAGTTGTGTTTTCCACACATTTAGTGCCACTTTATTGCCAAACTCTTGATAACTAATTGTACTGAAAAATATTTGGGCAATTAACTTTTGACATTGGGCAAATAAAATATAAATGATACTTGCCCAAAGGGCAAGTGGCTGACAAAGCTTAATGTCAAGGCCTGCATGAGTGGGTTAAGTATGTGCGGTTGCATGTTTTTTTGATTATCCAGGACCTTGCAGCTGGTGCGAAGCTTCTGCCGCTCCTTCTTTATGGCCTTCTTCTGGATGTCTTTCTCCTTCTTTGCCTGGAGAGCAGCATGGCGCGCCTCTTCCTCCTGCTTCTCTTTGGCCAAACGAGCAGTCTCCAGCTCCGCTTGACGAGCCTGTAAACACACCATTTCAACATTGAAATCACACACCAAAATCCACTTCACCTCCAGAAAAAATAAATAATAATAATTTAAGTATTTGTGAAAAACTAGTCAATTACAATAAGAATCAATAGCTGCAGCCCGAAAATGTCCATCCATCCCTCTATTTTCTTCCCCTTAATCAGTTTCTGGGTCAGGGGGGTGACCAGAGACCAGAGCACAGAGCACCAGACCCTCACTGGACCTCCTGCAGGTGAGTGGTGAATCCACAGGACGACGGCTGCTCTGTGGCATAGCCTTGGTCGTTCAGTGGGGGCTTCAGGCAAAGTGGGGTTGCCCAATGACACAGCTACAGCAGATATCAGGGAGTCAGTGGAGTGTCTTTTGGTGGGCTCAAACCCACGATCTCCAGGCTCAAAAGGCCAATGCTCTACCAACTGAGCCACTGTCACCCCATGTCGCCCTAAAATTTGTGGGTGTGGTTATATTGAACGTTTTTGAGTAAATTGAGTTCGTAAAACACCTGCGGCGCAGAGGCAAAGCAGCAGCGGTAGAACTGAGCGGAGCGAGAGCAGAGCAGAGGGAGAGAGTGTTTTTTATTTTACTCACAAGGTCTTTAGTACCAGAGAAGTACTTGGTCTGGTACTGGCTCACTCAGATTCAGAGGAGGAAGACACAGGTGTCCAGTGAAGCATTATTGGTGGCGGGGAGACCGCGCTCCATAGTCCACAATCAGCCCCTGTACAGCGGCTGCTTCACCTCCGTGTGACTGCGGTAGAAGCATTCTGTGAACGCCAAGCAGGATCCGTGGTGGAGGGGACAGGGGGATCATAACACCGGGCATGTGGGAGAAAGTCACGGGGGTAGACATCCACGGGAGACGCGGGAGAAGATGCGGGGGAGCCGCGGGAAAAAACACATCGCTAATCGCTTTCTTGAGAGAAAATAATCCACAAAAGTGTATCAGAAGTGTTGAAGAGTCTGTTGTTTCTTGTTGAGACGATCTGACATGTTCTGTGCCCATTCATTTCATCTCTCTGTTTCTAAACGATAAATCCTGGAGCCTCATTTCCACTGAGAAAAATGGTAAGCCCACCACTTCTTTGAAAGGGAAATATTGAAACCAATCTCCAGATTCCATGACTGTAAACTATAAAGAGTGCGTTCTTGATCACTGAAGGTCTTTGAAAATAATACAATTCCATATGGCCACGAACCAGTGCTAAAACATCTATAATTTGGATCAGGGAATTTATTTCGATCCCAAAATCATTTCATACTAGGGCTGGGCGATTAATCGATTTTAATCATTAATTCGAGTTTTACGTTTAGGGCGATTTCTTTTTTTAAAAATTCGATTTTTATTTTCTCCAGCGCAGAACTACAGCGCTAACGCGCTAACCGCGGGTCTATGGTGTTGAGCAGTCATTTTGAAGCTAACCTAATGCTAACAGTCTCCCTCTGGCCTGATGCTCGCTCTCACAGTTGGTGCTGTTGCAATAACACTTCAAACGTTCAAGAATCAGACTTTATTTAAATCGCCAAAACACACACACACACACGCACGCAGGCTCCGGTCGCTATTTTCTTACGCCATGTTCGTACGCCACATCTTTCACGCTCTCTCACGCTCGTTATTCCAAAGCGCACTCCCGTGTCCGTGGCGCGCACACACTCGTGTCCCACTGAGCCGCTGCACTTTGGGGAAAGACACGTCTCACACATTGCTCTCATTGCTCTGATACAAACAACGTGTTCCCCGCTGTCTGTTAGCTACAGTAGCTGCTACAGTAGCTGTTAGCTACAGTAGCTGCTACAGTAGCTGTTAGCTACAGCATCAGAATGTAAACAGGAAGCTCGCACAATGCGGGAGTCTCTGAAGTTAGTATTAGCGTCACCAGCTGGACCGAGCGTTGTACTACAGCACAGTTACTCAGGCACAGTTGAAAGAACAAGCATGAAAACCCGAGGAGGCTTTTGGAAAAGACTGTTACAACATTTCTATTTTGAGTAATCAGTTTTAAAAATGTGATATTTCATGTAAATAATGCATGTGTTTAATAGGATTGATATATTTGCGATGGGCCTTGTTTGTGTGATTTAAGTTATTTTGAAGGTGCATAGTGTCATTGTAAGTGAAGTTATTATAAAACGTTTAAGCTACATTTTCACTGTTTACAATGGCAGAGCCATCTCGTTTACAAGCATGTTTTAAGGCTTAATTCCTGTTACACTTATGCTCCATGGGGATTTAGATTAAACTGCATAAAGGAAAATCAATTTCTTTGTCAGTTGTATTTTGTTTTTAAATAGAAAAAAATAAATCGATTAAAATCGAAAATTGGATTTGGTGTGAAAAAATCTGAGAATTTTTTTTTTTGCCATATAGCCCAGCCCTATTTCATACTAAATATATTTCACATTGACTGTTTATAGTATTCCCTGATCTCAAAAAACTTCCAAGCTACAGCTTTTTGAAGTCTTTATACAATAATTAACATTTTCCAAAATGGCCCGCCACCTTGATGACGTCACAATATGCAAATTAGATGACGAATCAACTTCCATCCCAAAGTTTGGTTCAAACTGAAGATATTTCTAATTTACAGTATGCCTTTATCTCAAACCCTTTTTAAAGATATAGCCTTTTGAAATCTTGAAATCAAAATGGTATATTTTCTTGAAAAAACTCTGGCGCCTAAAGGGTTAACACTATTTAAAACATGCAGCGTATTCGTTCCGCTGCATGTTTTTTTTTCCCCTGCTTTCCGCATGTCTCTTGGTCACTGCTCACACACACACAAGCTCACACACACGGCCCCTCCCCTCCCTGCACACCACGTCCGTCTCCATGAAAATGTCATCCTTGGAAGCATGGCCTATTTGATGCAGAGAAGACCCCTAGCAAACACGCGATTGCCTTTCTTAGAAAGGCAATTAGAGTCGCAAGTTTGGGGTAAAATTTAGTTGGGTTGTCAGCAATGTTCCCCCTAAGCGCACGTGCGCAAAAGCGCCCGATACAGAAGTCTGAAGCTGCGTTTGAAAAAGAACACGGCTCGGACCAACAGCACCCTGCACACCTTGAACTCGCTCACTCGGTCTTGCTGCGGACTTGCGAGTGGTGTCTCACGAGCACTACACCAGCTGCAGTGTGTGCGTGGAGCCACAAACACTCCTCACGCGCACGCACTTATGTAGGGAAGACCAGGTCTGGTCAGACGAGCGTCCCCTTCAGTTTAGCACAAAGTTGCCTATTGCTGAGTAAAGTTGGTTTTGTGGCAATATGACAATTATTATCTTATATAATTATTGGTCCATGTGTTTTATTTTATAATGCATATGATAAAATAAAACCATGTATACTATGTATAAATCTATTTAGTCTATACTAAATATGAATAGACAAAATCCACTTTGAATATTTTGTGTTTTTAGTTAAATTCACCAAATATATTCCGCAATCTACTTTAATTTACTATCTATAAAAGACTCATTTGAATAATGATCAAGTGAATATTGAATCGAATCATAGTTGGTTGAAGCTGGAGTATCTTAAATAAATTAGATCAGCAGGTGTATACAGGTGTATCCAAATGTGAATGGTTTTCAACAGAGATCTCTCGCTCAAAGTGTTCCACGTGCCGCTCAGGTGGTTGTGTTTTTGCCCTGACCCATGAAAAATTAGAGGGACCATTGGTTGTCTGGTCAAAACACTATGTAGCAGCTTTGAATCAAATAAACATATGGTAGATAATGTTATGTCGTTTTTACTCGTACACTGAATGTTTGCCGCTTCAATCCAGATGGGTATTGAAAAGTATTTTCCGCAAAAAAGATCAATAAATCCATAAATCCATATCCATATATATAATCTCAATCAATCCATCTACTTTCTTCAGAATATCAAGTACATTTTCTCCGCACTCACCTTCTCCTTCTCCTCCTGCTCCCTCTTCTTGGCATCTGCTTTGGCTTTTTTCTCGGACTCTTTTCGGGCCTTTTCTTCCTCTTTAAATTTCTTTATTCTAGGATCACAGCTGTAGGCTGTGTCTGCAACACAAACACAGATCACTTGAGTTATGATGACTGTACTTGCTGGGCCAAACAATATTTCTTCTTTAAGATCAATGTCTGTATATACATTTACTTGTATACCTTGTTTTGAGTGCTCATTTTTTTTCTTTTCTTTTTAAGCTGTGCTTTGACCCATTTCTCAACTGTGGGTCAAATAAAGGGTCTCTTTTCCCTGATCTAAATGAGAAATGGATTCTAGAATGTGCCAACAATACAGGTGTAACTATTGAACATTTTAAACTTAGACTAAAGTCCTTTTTCTTATGTAATTCAACTTAGAATGTCCAACATATGAGACTCATTAAATGCAAAGTGAAATATATCAAGCCTTTAATTTGTAATAATTATAATTGGCTCACAGCTTGTGAAATACCCCAAATAAAACCGCAGAAAATAAGATTTTTTTAAGCCATAATCAGGAAAATTATAGCAGAACTTGAAAAAGTAAATGAAAATATTCTACATTTCAGAATTTCACCTACATAGTGGCAGAAGAGGGAAATTACTTTTTGCCTGCTGTAGATTTATATGCAATACTTTTGATGTAAAACTAAAAAGGAAGAAAATGGCTTTCCATGGTTTCACTGTTATGATGGGGAACAATTTTGGAGCATGGTTTAAAGCCTTTTTTGTAGACTCGTACCGACTAAGGTGCGGATGCGGTTCATCTCCTCCTTCTTCCTCTGAGCCCTGGATGCACGGTTCTGCTTCTCAATCCACCGTCTCTCATCCCGACTGGTATGGAGACACACAAACACACTCTGAGAACACATTTCCAGACCAATTATTTAAGCCTGTCGCATACACGCGCCTAGGGGTGGGCGATACGGCTTAAAATTTATATTGCGGTATAATTTGGGGCACAGACTACCGTCTGTGTCAACGGTATATTTTGCGGTATAATTTGGTGTGTGAATTTCAACATAGGTCTAGCAGGTTCTTGCCTAAAATATTCAAGATTGTTACTTATTTATATATTAGAATCTGATGTTTATTTTTTGTTTGAAAATCAGGCGTGAGACAAATGAACAGACAAATGGTGTAACATTTTTATTATTTATGTATGTTACAGTAAAGACCATTTACTGTAAAAGCAATTTTAAAAAAAGGAAAAACCTGTATTCATTTAAAATATAAAAAAACTCACAAATGTTGAAATCAAAGTCTGTAGCAGTTAGATATGGTCATTATTTATAGTGTGAGTTTTGAGCGTGTACATGGCTTCAGTAAAAGATATTGCTTATTTACAAAGCTGGTCTTGACATTTGTTGACGCTTTTTTCTGCGCTTGTAGTGCACTGGAATCAATGGATTTTTTGCTTTAAAAAGGGACCTAATCTTATTTTGTTGGTATATTGTGGTCTTTTTTGTGTTTAAAAAAACTCATTTTGACAGATAGAAACCGCTAAGAGTGAAACTATCAATAATTATAATGCAAAAAGACATTCGCAGAAAAATTGCTGAGACCGGAAGTGACGCACAAGTAGGGGTCTTTGGGCTTTGTTTATATGCATTTGTAAGCCATAACGTTGTATACAGACGTTTTAAACAGATATACAATACAAGTCAGGGGTTTTTATTTATGTACTTGTTATGAAAGTAATTCTGATTTTGAGGACTCGGTTCAGATGAGGAGCAAGCTTCAAGAGCTCAACATTTGCGAACATTAGGGCCGTTTCCACGGGCTGGAGTCATGGATCTATGGTCCGACCCGGTTTGCGGATGCGGTCAGTTTGAGCTCGCCACCCAAATGAGTGTAAATAAGTGTTAGCGAAGGTAGCGCTAAGTAGTAGGGACAAAGGAATGGATATCACGGACATTGCAGTGCAGAGAAGAGTTAAGCGTAAAAGTGACTACCGTGAAATGAAAGATCCCAGCCGTAAAAGTGGACAGAACTGAAAAGTCTGGAGGTGGTTTGACAAGATGGATTATTTTTACAGCTCATTTTTATCAGCTAACACATCAATACCCACAACACCAAGAGAGAAGCCTCAACTCTATGTCCCAGCTCCAGATGTTGAGTTTGAGAGAAATGGTTAGTGTCTTGAATCAAATGCAAACATAATATGGTTTATTCTGAACATGTGTCTGTGGTTCTAAAGTCTTATACTAAACGTGTGTCTGTGGTTCTAAAGTCTAAAACATGATGGTATGTGTCATATCTATATCTTTTACTAAACGTGGAGTAAACGTAGCGTGAAACATGGATTCATTGTTCAATGACAGTTGTGTTTTCTGCTGAATACTGGGTTGAAACTCATAAAATTGGTTTTAGTTGGAGCTTGATAGAACTAATTTCATAGAACTCGCGCTGGTATCGTCTGTTTGTTTGGACCGTTGTCTTCTCTGAATAAGTCAAAGATTGTAGGGACAGCTGTTTACACTCTTTTGGTAACTTGCATTGCTGCATCCCGGGGCCATACAAAATACACCCATTTTAAGGTTTATTTGTGTCGAAGCGGCAGCAGGACCAATGCCATAAACAGTGAAGGCGAGAGCTGCGACCCCTACAAGTAAGTTGTCATTTTTCTGGCCAATCAGCCATGATGATGCTGCAGGCACAGCCCACCCTGCCACTTGTCAACATTACATACAGAAATACAGCCCATGGATGTAATCGAGCCTACTCCCCTTTGACACCGATTGGCCGAAAAGGTAGACGCTAGGGCTGGGCGATTAATCGATTTTAATCATTAATTCGAGTTTTACGTTTAGGGCGATTTCTTTTTTTAAAAATTCGATTTTTATTTTCTCCAGCGCAGAACTACAGCGCTAACGCGCTAACCGCGGGTCTATGGTGTTGAGCAGTCATTTTGAAGCTAACCTAATGCTAACAGTCTCCCTCTGGCCTGATGCTCACTCTCACAGTTGGTGCTGTTGCAATAACACTTCAAACGTTCAAGAATCAGACTTTATTTAATCGCCAAAACACACACACACACACGCACGCAGGCTCCGGTCGCTATTTTCTTACGCCATGTTCGTACGCCACATCTTTCACGCTCTCTCACGCTCGTTATTCCAAAGCGCACTCCCGTGTCCGTGGCGCGCACACACTCGTGTCCCACTGAGCCGCTGCACTTTGGGGAAAGACACGTCTCACACATTGCTCTCATTGCTCTGATACAAACAACGTGTTCCCCGCTGTCTGTTAGCTACAGTAGCTGCTACAGTAGCTGCTACAGTAGCTGCTACAGTAGCTGTTAGCTACAGCATCAGAATGTAAACAGGAAGCTCGCACAATGCGGGAGTCACTGAAGTTAGTATTAGCGCCACCAGCTGGACCGAGCGTTGTACTACAGCACAGTTACTCAGGCACAGTTGAAAGAACAAGCATGAAAACCCGAGGAGGCTTTTGGAAAAGACTGTCTGTTACAACATTTCTATTTTGAGTAATCAGTTTTAAAAATGTGATATTTCATGTAAATAATGCATGTGTTTAATAGGATTGATATATTTGCGATGGGCCTTGTTTGTGTGATTTAAGTTATTTTGAAGGTGCATAGTGTCATTGTAAGTGAAGTTATTATAAAACTGTTAAGCTACATTTTCACTGTTTACAATGGCAGAGCCATCTCGTTTACAAGCATGTTTTAAGGCTTAATTCCTGTTACACTTATGCTCCATGGGGATTTAGATTAAACTGCATAAAGGAAAATCTATTTCTTTGTCAGTTGTAGTTTGTTTTTAAATAGAAAAAAATAAATCGATTAAAATCGAAAATCGGATTTGGTGTGAAAAAATCTGAGATTTTTTTTTTTTGCCATATCGCCCAGCCCTAGTAGACGCTTAAACCGCGATTACCGTGTGTGTATTTACCTCTGCTGGGGCCGCTGTGATAACAATACAAAGACAGAAACACTGTGTGAAAGCCGTGCTGTTGTTCGCCGTTTCCAGTGGTGTCTGCTAGGCTAATGCTGCTGAATGCCGGTTGTTTTGGTGCTTTCTGCTGACGTCAGAGCCTGCGCAATTTGATGATACAAATGACCTATCGCAATATGCCGGTATAACAAAAATCTATCTTTGGCTACATTTTTATCGCCTACCGCTTATATCGCCCAGCCCTACAAAGCCATCTACTGAGAAGAATCCATTTGCTCAGATGTGTGTGGATGATTATCAGAAACTTTTATACCGTGCGAGACAAAAATCAAAACACAGTTCATAAGGCAAAAAACTGACCAAATTTCAAGTGACCAATGAAAACGCATTCTCCACTCACATGATTACAAGATCGCTATAACTCCAACAGCGAGATGTTCTGACAGCCATGTAATCTGAAATGTATTTCCGTCTTTGCGTTACTATGGGAAAACGTCATCTGTATAACTTCAAACAGGCAAATCTGATAGAAGCACATTCCTGCTGGCCACAGCATGTTCTCTCACACTGCTGCTCTAGATGAGCCCCAGGAAGAAGTAGGGATGCCTTAGACACAAATAACCTGAAAATAATATAAATTCGCAGAAAGAGGGTATAGAATTGACTGTACATACAGTGGGGCTAAAAAGTATTTAGTCAGCCACTGTTACGGGCCAGGCCCTATAGTGTCCAGGAGAGGGTGCCGTCTCTGTGCCTGCCTTCTCTGCCGTCTCCTCCTCTGTGCAGGTCCACACCTGCACCAGGCCATGCCTATCATCAATGGGTCTTTTCAGCTGTGAGCGAGAGCCAGGCCCGGACTGGCCATCGGGACCATCGGGAGATCTCCCGGTGGCCTGCGTGTCAAAGTGGCCTGGGCCTGCCCTATCATCACGGAATTTTTCTTTTTTTTTTTCTTTTAATTTAATTTCATCCTCACGGTCTTTGCAAACTCCTACCCTGCCTGGTGGCCTGGTCCAATGAGCAAGGCCCAGGCCAAAGCTTTACTGTCATTGGGCCAGAGCAAAATTAAACAAATGTGACGTCACACGTCGGCTACACAGCCAGGCCAGCCTAGCAGTGCACCCAGTGTAGCTTCTCCGGTTGAAATGAGTGGTCTCTCCAACTGATGGTTCATACACGTTTTTATTTTTCCTTTTATATGAGCTGTAACGATGTGATTTTTTGAACAGTAGCTTACAGAACGTCCTTTTAAGCTAGTTATGCCGTTTTTCCCACAGTGTCGGTTCAGTTCATTTCGGTACGGTACGGCGCACCTATTTTGCTTTTCCACTAGTGGATGGAATGGGAGATTTGAGTACTTTTCCGTACTGCCTCAGCCGTGGTTCCATCCCCATGTTACCCGTGCCATGACGTCACGTCGGCCCACTGCCTTACACTGATTGGTCAACGAGTGTCGTCACTGGAAGCGGCATCTGACCCTTTGGGAAAAACAACTCAACCGCCATCTTTAAAACCGGCTGCTCTGCTCGGCTCTGTTTCGGCTACATTACGTCCTCCTCACTCCAGAAAAATGGAATTGCACAGAAAGCCCCAAAAGTCCTGGTCCTGGTCGGTGGAAGAGGTCCACACGTTCCTCTCTTCAGGCCAAAAGAAAGAATTCAAAGGCAGCTCGAGGCTCAACACAGTTTTCAGGGAGATCACCAGCTCTGGATTTGAGACTAGTCTGTGGTAATCCTGAAATAACTGGTTAGCTACGAACCCCCTAAAGCTCTCACTGAAATGTATTTACTGTGTAAATGCTCGATTGTCTGTTGTACACAGTGAGCTAGCTACATTTAGCTTCATTTAGCTATCGATAGCAGCTAAGCTAACGTCCTCCCTGTGCTACTGTGCTTTATCTCGTATAATCTGCAGTATCCACGTGTTGTCATTCTGTTTTGTGCTTGTATTTAAGTTGTTGTGTGTATATTTGTATGAGAATCCCTTCAAGACTGTGTTTCATTCATTTATTATTATTGTAGCTGAGGTTTGGGTATCGATTGTTTGTCTGGTCGGAGTCTGCTGTAGTCCGGACCCGAGTCCAGACTAGGTTAGCCGCTAACTCGCTACCCCTATGGCTGCCGCTGTCTCTCCCTCGGTCCTTTACTGCTCGAGTTGCCATATGACGAGTTTAAACACCGGATCCTCCTCTGAGGGCAGTGATAGATGTGTTAAGTGTAGTATTGTAGTAGCTTTGGAATCCAGGGTTAGTGAGTGAGCAGAGTCTCGAGCTAGCGCTAGCTTTAGCCTAGCAGTATCCTCGGACATGCAGCCCTCCTCCTCTGCACACTGCTACACAGGCTGCTGTTGCTACAGGTATGTCCCATTCAGATTGTACAGAGCAGTCAGCACCATTGACTTCAGTGTCTGAGTCATTCTTTTAAGACATAAGCATTTTCAAAAACTACTCGTGCTGTGCTAAATTTTCTATTGAACACTTGCTCTGGTGGCCTGAATGGATGAAAAGCTCCCGGCCTGAAATGTTGTCCCACTCCGGCCCTGGCGAGAGCTGCTCACATCCTCCTGTGTCTCTTGGTCCTGTCCTGGTGGGCTCTGCCTTGAGCCACCATGCCCATTCCTTTGTTGCACATTTGAGTTTGTCTTTTGTTTTATGCACCACATTCACTGCACACCACACACAGGCTTTCATTGCACTCACACACCTGCACCACACTACTGATTACAACATGCTCACATCCCATACCTTGGTTTTTGTTCATGTTATACTCTTTTTGTTATTAAATATACTTTTGGAACTTTATACCCCCGTCTCGTCTCCCTATTTGTTATGGCTCTGAGCCGGCTGTAACAAGTTGGGGGCTCGTCCGGGATCAGTAAATGTGGTGCATAAAACAAGACCAACTCAAATGTGCAACAAAGGAATGGGCATGGTGGCTCAAGGCAGAGCCCACCAGGACAGGACCAAGAGACACAGCAGCACAGGAGGATGTGAGCAGCTCTCGCTCACACCTGAAAAGACCCATTGATGATGGGCATGGCCTGGTGCAGGTGTGGACCTGCACAGAGGAGGAGACGGCAGAGAAGGCAGGCACAGAGACGGCACCCTCTCCTGGACACTATAGGGCCTGGCCCGTAACAGCCACCAATTGTGCAAGATCTTCCACTTAAGATGAGGGAGGCCAATAATTTCCATCATAGGTATACCTCAACTATGAGAAAGAGAATGCAAAATTAAAATAAATATCCGGAAATTCACATTCTCTGATGGGTTAAATAAGTATTTTTTGTCACCTACAAACAAGCAAGATTTCTGGCTCTCACAGACCTGTAATCTTCTTTAAAAAGGTTCCATTTTTGCGCTCCTCTTCTTGTTTCACAGACCATTCTATGCACACGTGTGATAATAATTTGAGTGAAACATCATACAACACTCAAAACTTGTGAGATTATAGCCTTCTCTTGCATAGACGTGATGTCACCTCATCTCAAACGAGCTGATCCAGAGAGGAGTCTGCTCCTCTGTCAGTGAGCCCAAATCTCCCCGCCCGCACGGTGACTTAGCCTCAAGTTGCAAGTTGTTTATCTCCGGTACATAGTCATTTCAGACCTGGGAATAAACTTTTTCCAACAATGACAATCAGTCATATCGAGCCCTATGTGCTCAATCCAGAATCAGATCCTAATAATTTAGTTCACAGAAGTATACCGTGAGTTACTAGCACTGTACCATGGATCTATTATAATAACTGGATAGGGTATTACTAGCTTGGAGCTGAAGAACCCATGTGCTCGGGGGATTCTTGCGGTACTGCAGACTGAACAAAACTAAATTCACGTGGGCTACACAGAAATTTCCCCATAGAACTCAATGTAAACTAAAACAGCTCAACCTCAGCTGACCGAACCAACAGCTTTCATAAAGATTGGATTTTGTGGGGATTTTAGTGTCCCTTGTCATCCTGAACTTTTTTTTCTTGTTAAATATTTCGGTTTTCTTTAAATCTACACTTTACTGCCACAAACTCTGCTCCTTTCCTTCCCGCTCTGACGCGCAGTTCTGATTGGTCAGAGGACGGCCGAGCCCCTCTGTGCACGTGCATGAGAGCACCACACACGTATTTTGCGCAACGCATCATGGGACTTCATCCACTGCGCAGAACCTGGAGCACCAGATGATGCCCAAATACAGGCGAGTTTCCCCTGGATCTTTGCAAGTTCCAGGCGAGTTCCGCCAATATGTCAGCGACTGTGACGGCACAAAGCGCCACTGAGCACAAACCATTCATTTGAATACGGCGCAATCTTGGATCGCCGGGGCTTGCACTGTACTTACAGATCGGGGCTCCGTGTTGCTGTCTTTTATCTTGGGACTAACACTCCAGATCAGCTTTTGAGTAAATCCACTTCAAGGTATCTGTAGTTCTGGAACAGTCTTAGTGAAGTGTCACATATTAAAGGAGCTATACCCGTTTCTGAAAGATTTTTTTCAGTTTGATTGTTTAGCACCACCCGCCAACCCGCCAACTCGCTCACAGGCTTCTCATTTTGTTTTTCAACCACTGTGCCGGCATATCATTGATGATATTGTCCGGTGTGCCGTGAGAAATTTGCCTACTTTGTCTAAAAATAACTGCATGCACTTTGGCGAGGGCTGACTTGTTTTGAACTGTGGAGTAACCACTAAATACTTTTTCATATCAGTGGGTGGCAGCAGATAGCCAGGTACTTTGAAACATAAGAATTGGACGCAACCACAGGATGTAACGGAGTGAGGAGTAGGGCTGCAACTAACGATTATTTAGATAATCGATTAATCAGGCGATTATTTTTACGATTAATCGATTAATCGGTTTATGTACTTATATTTTAGTTTTGCCAATTTTTTTCCAAGTAAATTGTTAACAAAGGGCCTTCATCATTCAACATAGACTTTTTAGAGATTTTAACCATTTTACATATTCATATCCACATCAAAAACTTAACTGGAGCTGTTTATTATGTCTTTGTAATCCTTTAGTGAACTCAATGTTGACCATCAAAACAAAACACTGACCGTTACATACTCTAGCAAATTTCACAAGGAGATTTCCAATAATGTTTTCACCATGAAAATCCTTAGGGCTTCTGAAGTAGTTTAAAATCCCGAACAAGGCTTATTTAAGTTGATAAACTGATAAATGTTTTTTTTTTTTTACATCTTTGTGCAAATTATTTGAAAGATCAACTTTATGCCTAAAACAGTGAGTGTGGCGCCATCTTTTGCAAACAGTCAGTACTGCAGAGAGATGGTTTAAGGTGCTCACGCAGAGACGTAGTACTCCTGTGCCAGGCCAAGTCAGTAGCGCAGAGTTTACAGGTTACTCTTCTTTTTTGAAGGTTCAAAGTAAAGTGCTCCCACACTTTGGATGACTTCGTTCGATTAGGTTTGTCTTCTGCTTTTTTCCTTTTTTTTCTCGAGCTTACTCCGCTTGCCTCCGCCATCTTGCTGTATGCTGAAGAGAAGCTGTGCGCGAAGCATGTGACATAAAAGGAGGCCAGCTATTGGCTATTCGCTACTTCTCCTGCTGTAAAACCTCCGGTGGCTCATTACTGCCACCATTTGGTCACCGCAGAGTTAAAATATGCACGAAATGAGCCGCTTACGGCAAAATAAAAGTTATTTAGCAACTAATCGATGACTAAATTAGTTGACAACTATTTTAATAATCGATTTTAATCGATTAAATCGATTAGTTGTTTCAGCTCTAGTGAGGAGCATTGTGGCGAGTGAGAAGGGTAAGTGATTGAGATGCTTTTGAAAAGGAATTATGCCATATCTGAACAGGATTCTCCGCTCCGACCCCGGGGCAGCTGTGGCCGCGTTGTACTGACAGCCGCTTTGACAACAGCTCAGCAAACGCACATCCGTAGTATCGAGGGATACTATGGACAGACGCGCAAACAGACCCATGGACGCGCAGACAGACCCATGGACATGCAGCCAGAACCATGGACACGCAGACAGAACCATGGACTGCTGAGAGTGGATTTTTGTTTTCTTCCTCTTTCAATTAAATTCAGGTCGACTGATGTGAAGCAAAGAATGAATGGGGCCACGTTGGCATGGACTAATCAAAAAAAAAACCTCAGGGCCATTATGACAAGAGACATTATTTGAAACCACATATGTAAACTTACCATTCTGCTTTTTCCTTCTCCTCTTCATCCAGGTATGAAAACTCCCTCCACGAGTCAAAGTTATACCTTCACAAACACAATAGGAAACATTAGCTCAATGACGTCACTGCCACAAAACCATCCGACTGCTCAGGCTTTTACCAGAAGGAGTAGAAAGTGTCCACTTCCTCGAAGGTGGACTCCAGTGTGCCCAGTTTTGGGATGTGCTTCTTGGAAGACCAGCGCGCGTTCCTCTCAAACACTGGGTTGAACGCCTGAAAGAAGTTGTCTTTTGCTTCGCTCTTTGAAGGCACACTGTTGTCGAAGGTGGGATCCACGCTGTCAAAGGCCCGTCGCTTCACTGGATCGGAGAGCACCTCGATGGCTGTGCAAGGCAAACAATGCAAACAGAGATTTTTTTCAGTAACTACTTGAGCAACCTTTTGAAAGCCAAAATTAGTTTCATCATAGTCTTATCTGGACCTTGTGTCTGTGATAAAGTTTCATAAGTTTCATAAATGGGGTACAGACAGCATGCAAAGAACTTTCACTATTACACTAACAATTTTTTTATACTGAACTTCTCTGGAGAGAACAACCTGCTGAAACCCTGGACAGCGCTAACGGTATGAACGGGCTTGCAGCCATTGATTTTGTGCACATATCATTAGTTATTTATCTTTGTAAAGTACGACAATGCAGGTGGCGATTCATTTGTTGTTTTCACTAAACAAATGAAACAACGAATGCCTGTGATTAACGAGACCACTGAAAGAAGAAAAGGTTGAAAAGTGAAAAGGCTTTAGCGTGAGCAGTTACCTTTGGTGATGCAGGTGAAGTAGTCATTGTCTCCTTCTACAATCTGTTCTCCAGCTGCTTTCCGTTTGTCTGGGTGATGTTTCAGAACAATGGCCTTATCTGCTCAAAAAAAGTACAGCATGAGGACCAGCATCTACTGAAGAATAAAGCACACAGTGTCCCTACAAGTATCTGAAGCATCTGGATTTTCACACATTTCTGCATAAAATCACCATCAAATGTGATCTGATTTTTCACAAAATCACATGGAGGAAAAAAATAAATAAATCCTGCTTTAATTAATAACACCCAAACATTTGTGTTTTAATATTTGTAATGTTTGCATACAATCAATGACAAAAGAGGTGGGAATAGCTGGTTGTCTCCCTTTTGAAGATCAGTCTGACACATCCATCAGGATACATTTTTGACCATTCCTCTTTGGATGTCTGGCATGAATGGCTGTCATGGCGCAGCATCTCAATGGGGTTCAATTTCAGGACTGACTTGGCCACTCCGGAACGTACATTTTGTTCTTCTGAACCCTTTCTGAAGTTGATTTATGTCCTGTTGCAACATTCATTCTCTTTTTAGCTTATACTCTGATGGTCCTGCAAAACGTTGACATTATTCCAATAATGATTGCAAATTGACAAAGCCCTGAGGCAGCAAAACCATACATGGCGTTGTGTGTTCCCCCAAACAATTCGACTTTTTCTTCAGTCTACAAAATATTTTGCTAGTAATTCTGCAGTAGCCTGGCCTTAGCCATCCGTAAACTAAGGTCAATTATATTTTCCCTACATGTACGTATGGGTCTGATCTTAGTGGCTGAGGTTACCTGGATTGAATCCCTTCCAACCACTCAGCAAGCGGGGGAGTTATTGTGACATCAAGAGTTTGCGCCGAATTTGCTGGTTGTAGTTTGGCAATGGCGGCAAATGCGATAAAAAGAGCTATGCAATCTGTTCTGCTCAAATGCAGTGCTTTTGGTGAGAGGTGCCGGTGTAACGCCGAGATACACTGCCTTGAAGAGATGCACTGCCTCAGCTGTTCATGATGTAATGCAAACCTGCGCATGCGCGTCTCACGCAATACATCCATGGTCTCACGGCAGCCGAAGCATACCAAGATGGCGGACCGTGAATGTCTTTAAAGTTAAAATACGAACGAATTAAGACACAAATGTCACTTTTAATGCAATTTGAGGCGAGTTTGTGGAGCTCTTTCCCAGTGCCAGCCGTGTCGGCACATCCAACGGGTTGACTGTTGCATTTAAGGAAGATCAGATTTGAAAACCTCTTTTAAGTTAAGAGAGTTTGACCGTGGCAAAGTGCCGCTTTCATTTGCCTGCGTCAGACCTGCAGCGATCTCAATCTGGTTGGGGTCAGCCAGCAAGGGCTCTGTAACGGCCCACACACACACCGCACGAGTCATGTGAAGCGGAGAGACGTTTTTTCTTCACCACGTGGAGTTGTTTACAGCAGCAAAAAAGTGACGCATACGCCTTTCCCTCGTAAAACTTCTGGGTAATGTAGTCTCTGCTCTTGGTGAGAGGAAGTAGCAAGCGTGCAATGTTGTAAGGGCGCTCTGAAAAGCAACGGAGCAGCTAAAGAAATAAAACCTATGCAAATGAGCATACCGGTACGCAAAAAGCCCATTCTTGGCGCACGGAAAGGTGGCGGTACGCTCAAAAGCAATTTTTGGAAGCAAACCAGCCCACTTAAAGCACTGAAAAAATGTAAACCAAAGTAAGAGAAATGTTAAGCAAATTTAATCGCTGGCAATGATGTTGTGACTTTATTCCCACAGGCTCAGTTAATGGCAAAGGACATGGCTAAAGCTAGGCTAAACTCTTCACCCACCTTGGTGCATTACATACGTCACACATATGATTTACAATTTTTTGGAAAAATGCCATTAAAAAAAAAAAAAATGCTTTTAGTCTTTACGCAGAAGGTTCAGTTACTTATTCCTTCTAGCATGTTATACTCCTTAAAATATGTCAAGCTAATAACATTTGGGCAGTCGTTAAAGCAGACACTGCTTTATCATTTGTGTGATTTTAGAAAAGAATGATCACATTTGATGCTGGTTTTATGCAGAATTGGAAGAAAGATGAGAAATTCCAAAACCAGATACTTTTTCAGGGCACTGTATGCGCACAAACTTACGTGCTGCTTTGATCTGTTTCTGAGTGGCTCTGTATCGGACGTGAGGCAGGCCCAGCACAGCATAGTGATCCTGGTTCTGGACAAACAGCAAAATGTTACAACACACATTATAAATAACAGACCTGCTGTTGAATTCACAAGGTGAATTCAGGAGCAGACCCATGCCTACTGCCTGTTTCTCTCTGTACACTCTCAGCTCCACAAAGGGGAAGAGGGGAGGGCAGGTGCAGACACTAGTTTGTCCAATAAAAGTATTTAAGCTCTAAACTTCTATCTGCAGATAAACAGCTCCTATGCATAATGAAACAACATTATCCCTGTCCTGATACGTGTGATCCAAAACAAGGGGGAAAAGCTCTGAAAACCTTCTATGAAAGTCTCCTCATTTGAGTGACAGAGGCAGAGCTCACAGCGTATGGAATCAGAATATCCCAACAACACTCCCAAATCCATAGACCATAAGAGTGGACTGACCCAAGGCTGGCATCATTCAGTGATTGCATACTGCAGAAGAAGACGATAAGAGCCAACTTAAACAGGCTACATGAGCTGGAATCTTGAGTCAACTATATCCAAATTTGTGGGTAGCAAGCTAAGAGTTAAGTTTCAGTGTAAGTCTGTAGGAGCCAGATCAATTACATACACAATGCAATTTATGTAATACCTGCTAAACTGACTTTGTGAAAGAAATGCTAACAGAGTTGATTGCTTCATGAATTATTGTGCTGGGTGAAAGGAACTTAAAGGGGCATGGTCATGTATTACTTAAGATTTTTATTTTTTTCAAAGACTGAAACAATCTACACCACATCTGGTTTTGAGGTGGAAAAATGTTGTCATCAGTCACCTTCCACTCTTTGGGGTCGAGTGTCCGGAGGATGGGACATTCCTGCAGCGTGAGCTCCTCATCCTCTTCATCCTCTGAAGACTCCTCCTCTTCCTCCAGCTCTTGGAACGACGCAGAGATGTTTCTACTCCTGCGTCTAACAAAAGCTTCAAACCAGCGGCCAACAGGCTCCACCTGCACCTGCAAGGACACTGGGCAACACCCAAACACAGTATTAAGGCACACTGAGGCATTCAAATTAGAGCCAAGCGCATTTCAAATGTCAACATTCATGCCAGATATTTTTATAGATACAATAGAACACAGGTAGTGCGGTGAAAACAATGCATTTACCAGAAAAATATGACTTGATACAAAAGAGTGACATTTAATAAGAAATCAACTGGAAATTTACCTGGAAATTTACATTAAGACTTCCACAAAGAACCTGGAGTGATTGCAAGCGCTTGTGTGCAACACAACTCAAAAACGCAACAATTTAAGTAAACATGCACAATGGCCCAGATTCAAATGTCTTTTTAATTATTTTTTTGTTAAAAGGAATGGAACTTTGCAGCAGACCAATCTATTTCGATGGAATGTATGTTTCAGCCCCAATGGGCTAAATGCACGGGGAGACGCGATGTCTTTTCCTTTAAACAAAGAACAGCTTGTTTACTTCCTGTTTATGCTTTCGCTTTGGCATTGTGGTGAGTTGTTGTGACGTTTTTTTAGTAATTAGATTGATACGTTCAGCTGTGCGACTGACCCAAAAGTGTCAACGTGCTTACTCACTGAGGAATAACTGACTGTGGCCACTCAGAGATTGGTTAACTTTGTAAAAGGGCTTGTTCACACTAAAGGGTACAAAAGTGTGACAAAAGGCCAAAAATTTGATTTTAATAATCAGAAGTTATCTTATGTTTTTCAGGTATCCATATACCTCCTCTGTTCATTAGAAGTTGCTAGAACATAACTGTTTTATACATTAAAAAAGTTTCCCATAGCAGCCCTGTTTATTTTATGTAACGGACATGATGATTTTACGGAATGAGCTTTGCGGAAGTTTTCAGAAGTCCAAATTTGATTAAGAGATGCTTTTTTTTTGTTTTTTACATGGAGTAGAAAAGTGAACAAAGAAAAATGGACGGAAACCATCACGTCCATTACACATTTATCAAGGGTAATTTCATTTTTGTTTTTTTTTACGATTCCTTTTTAAATCAAGTGATTTATGTTGTGTTAATCTTGTGGGATTTCATCTGGCGCTTTTTCAGAATGAGGACATTTTATTTTCTATGTAGCTGGCGTCACAGTAGAATGGTCAAATCAGAGGCTGATTTGCTCATATTTTAAACCTTAAGAACAGATCATTGCTTTTTACGTGTAAAGTTGTTTCACATCAGCCCTTCTTCCATAGAAAAGAATTTATTGACAGTAATCAAAGCTATTTGACAAAGTTATTGTTGGTCATAAGAAATTAAAAAGGGCAGACAAATGTTTCCATTTAATTTGTAATATTAACACATTTGAGCTAGACTAAATAGTTGAACTTTTCACTAAAGTATAAGTATATTCTAATTCTGAAGTTTATTGTGGATAAATTAAGTCTAAATGACTATGAAAAACACATTTCTATCGTGTCATGTTATTTTAAGAGGGGCAAATTACTTTTATCGCAGTATCTCTGACATACAATATGACGAACTTTTGTTTTATTGTGACAGGCCGGGATATAAATGAAGTTTAGCCAGCCATAGGTGTCATACTGGTTTATTGTTCACGGTGTCAATAGTGTGGCCTTTTGTAACAGAAACTTAACTTAAAGTTAAACAAATAGAATAACCCTATAACTCTAAGATCCTGCTTAACTTTTATCGCTGCACCATTGAGAGTTTACTTGTTGGTTCTGTGTCTGTGTGGTTTGGAAACATCACAGATAAAGAAAAGAGAGCTTTAAACAAGGTGCTCCACTCTGCAAAGAGGACCGTGGGCTGTGAGCTTCCTGTTCTGGAGGTTCTTTACAAATCCAGACTTTTAAACAAAGCTCTTAAAATCATCAATGACTCTTCTGGCCACCCTGGGAAAGCCATGTTCCAGCTTCTTCCCTCTGGCAGAAGATATCAGTCGCTGAGATGCAAGACATCTCGCTATGCTAACAGCTTCTTTCCACAGGCTGTTAGGTGCCTAAACAGAGCACTTTAATTCCTGCTTTTACCCCTTGTATCGTTTTGTTGATCGGTGCCACAGTGTCAGCTGTTTTTTTATTTTTTTATTTTTTATTTTTTAATTATTTTATATTCAGTGTATGTGTATTTTATATTACATTGTATCGTGCTTTTTATTCTGTCGGTGCACACAGAGTACCTTTTTTGCAAATGTATTCCAATGTAGTTTTTATACTGCACATGGCCAATAAATTAATCTGAATCTGAATCTGAATCTAACCGGATATTGTTAAGACGGTTTTGTAACGTTTGGGGAATATTCAAATTCATATCTAAGAATACAATACTACCAAATATTGACGGTCGTGTGTCCCCATAATAAATATACTAAACATTGGGGTTATTTTGGACACATGCCCCCAGCTTCCACCTGCTCCACTCAGAATATTCACAATTATTTATACTCTAGACAGATATAGTAAAAGACACACTGTGACATAATAAAGGATAATTAGATCTTAAAGATTGTTAGAACAACCCGTATGCCCCACAAAATATAACGTAAAAACAATAGTAGCGACGCCGGGTGCTGTCCCATAACATGAAGCCGGACTCTGTGCATGTTGAGCGGCTTGAAACACTCACCTGCCGCAAATGTGAACACCTCCGTCTGCTCCCCGACCTGCGCTTCTAACAACATCGTAGTTTCGCAGTTTCTCTGCAGACAGTACCAGTGCAGAGTTAGAAAGTGCTAAAGTGAAGCGACCAAAAGCACATGGGCCTAGTGCACATAGAAAGGGCCGTGTAAGTGCAAGCGGCTGACGAAGGTTCCGCTTAAGGTAAACCATGACAAGGAAAGAAACCTTGTGAATGGAATTTTACATTTCATATTTATTACAAAAAAATGCAAACCTTTATATTAAAGTTATGTCAACAATCCGTTTCTAAATAATTATTTCAAATATCTCGGTGAATACATGGTTTTCCATCACGTGCTTATTACCCATGATGCTTTGCGCGAACGGCATTTTAGGAGTCAAGCTTATATTGCACGTATAATTTATCACTGATAATTTGTCACTGATCATCTAAAGCCACGAATTCGGCCGATACGATACGCTGGAGTAATCTGTGAGGCAAGATCCTTTGAGAATCGGGAGATTTGGATCCATATGAAACGAGACGAGACCAGTGCACTTCCCAGAAATGGGTTACTTTCACTTAATAGTTCTACAATTAAAAAAACGTCATGATGTATATGATGCAATATTTCTTTCAATAAATATATTATTTTGAACGAAAAAGTTGATATCACAGGCCGCAAATCACTACCCTTTCCCCTCCCCTCTTCCTCCTCCTCCTCTTCCTCTTCCTCTTCCTCTTCCTCTTCCTCTTCCTCCTCCTCTTCTTCCTCCTCCTCCTCCTCTTCCTCCTCCTCCTCCTCCTCCTCCTCCTCCCCCTCCTCCTCCTCCTCCTCCTCCTCCCCCTCATTAATTTAGAGGGAGGCTGACCCAGTGCATGTGACGTCACGGCCACGCCCCCTCACCTTGACAGACGGGGAAGTATCGCTATTTAAGCCTGGACTGCTATTCATTTTACCGCGAACATCGGAAACTTGACCGTTTCACCACATAAGAGCCATCATGGTCATATCGTGCAGTGCGGTGGGGTGTACAAACAGGCAAGGACACAAGCCAAATGTTTCCTTCTACCTGATTCCTACTCGTGATGAAGATAGAAGACGGCGATGGTTGGCGGCAATCAACCGCAAAGACTGGGAGCCATCCAAGTACTCCCGTATTTGCAGTGAACACTTTTTACAAGGTAAATAAATTACGATTTTGTATTTATTGTCTTTCCATTCATGCTTTTGGAGGACAATGACACATCTAACGGTTGTTGCTGTAGCTCACTATTTTCCTCTCCATCAATATGTAGCTAGCATGTTTGGCTGTAGACAGAAAAGTGAACTTTTTGCTAATGCGCTAATGATACCAGCAACATTTACACTGTAGATGTAACCGTTACCACACATCATACGTGTGTGTAAATTACTACTTTGTTGTAAATAAGGAACCCATGTCTCTTTTCCAGGACAGAAGAGTGATGATCCCCTGTCACCTGATTATGTACCTTCAGTATTTGCACATACAAAGTCCCCTGCAAGGAGACGTGCTGTGCAAAGCCTTGAGAAGTTCAAGGTGAGACAGAACTTGAAGAAGAAGAAACTCCTGCTGTCTTCAAGAAGCGAGGCGGCTATGGCACTCCCGAACTTCTCATCAGAGATGAGCGAGATGACCACTCAGCTCACTGAGAATGACATGCCTGAAGGTGAAGCAATGTGCCAAACTGACCTGACCTCAAAACATATAGAGTCGTTAACACTGGAGTGTCAGATGCTTCGAAAGGAAACATTTGAACTTAAACAGAGGCTATATGTTAACATCTTTGAACAGAATGGCTTGAAAAACAAGGACAAGCTGAAGTCACTAACTGGACTACACAGCTATGAAGTATTCATGGCAGTGTTCAACCTTGTTAGTCCAGCTCTCAAAGACACTATAAATTTGACAAGTTTCCAACAGCTACTAATTACATTAATGAAAGTCAAACTCAACATACCAAATTCTTTTTTATCATATCTCTTTGAAGTTCACTCCTCAACTATTTCTAGAGTCTTTTCAAATGTCATACATATTCTCAATGATATATTAGTTCCTTTGTGTGTAATATGGCCCCAGAGAGAACATGTTAAAGTGTCCATGCCCATGTGTTTCAGAAAGTCTTTTCAGCATTGTATGGCAGTCATTGACTGTTTTGAGATATTCATGGATAAACCTAAGGATTTGAAGGCAAGGGCGCAGACATATTCGCAGTATAAATCCCACAACACAATTAAATACCTTGTTAGTATCACTCCACAAGGCACTATCTCCTTCATCTCAAGGGGCTGGGGTGGTCGAACAACAGATGCATACATCACAGAGCACAGTGGCTTTTTGGACAACCTTTCACCATATGACTTAATCCTTGCTGATCGAGGCTTTACAATTCAGAACTTGGTTGGTCTGTATTGTGCCAAAGTTGAAACCCCTGCCTTTACACGAGGAAAAAAACAGCTCGGAGCAGTTGAACTGGAGGACACCCGAAGACTTGCTGCTGTGCGCATACATGTGGAGAGGGTGATTGGACAAGCTCGCTCCAAGTACAAGATGTTGCATGGACCTGTGCCTATCAGTCTCCTGTCCACTGATGATCCAGAGTACACAACTCTGGACAAAATAGTGCGTGTAGCATGTGCACTAACCAATCTGTGCCCCTCAGTTGTGCCAATCAATTAATGTAAAATACATGTTATCTAATTTCTCTTTGTCATCGGTACCATCTATTCAAGATGTGTTTTTCTGTTTAACTGGGTAAATGACAACCCTGACCAATGTGATTGTATGGTAATGTGATGCGAAAGTATGTAAAAATAAACATTTCATAATGGCAACTATAACTTTAAGCCTCTTTATTACATTTACTTTGATTTAAGAATGACAAACGGGTCTACAAATAAATGAGCCACAATAAAACATTAGGCCTTGTTTAAATGATATTGAGTGGAAAGCAAAAACAAAATCAGGCCACATTACTCTTCACTCTCTTCCAGTATGCTGGAGTTAAGCCTTTCATCAGACTGTGGTTGTGGGCAAGGGCATGTATATTTTTTTGCCAATAGCTCTGGAAGAATAGCGGACCTAAACATCTGTTCTACTTTGGGTACTGTTTCTCTCATCAAGGCAGCATCGGGTAAGATCCTCTGTATGAAATAATCTGATTCGGACCACACCATGAAGTCACAGTATTTTCGCTCTGTCACAAACATCTGAGCTTGCACCTGGTAAAAGTATGCATGATCTTGGCTAAGAGAACAACACCCATTTGTATTTCTAATATAAAAATTTGGATTGTCTGTGGCACTGAGGACTCCAGTATTAGCACTGTGTGGGCATTTTATCTCTAACACACCATCGCCGCAGCAGCTACAGGACAACAAGGCATCTGGAGATGCTCCGAGGTAGGGCCAGCTGGGGTGGATGTGCAGACCAGAGTCACAGACTTGCAGGTCCTGATGCTGTGATGAGGCCCAGGCTTCATACGTCTGCCTTGCTGTCTTCTCTTGTTGACATCCCCATCTGAAAGATAGACCATACATAATGTCAATATCAGTTGCATATTGAGCAGAGTTAATGAGGATCTAACATTAACATGTTTAATTTTAACAGGTTTCATACTTCTATCTTTTTGCATAATCTGAGTAATTCTATCTATGCCAAATGTGACATGTACATTTCTCCATTGTGAGATCAATAAAGTCAATCTTGTCTTAAAGGAATAGTTCACCGTTTTTACATACTGACATATGTTCCTACCTTACCTTAGACTAGTTGATATGTACCTGTCTGGTCTTTGTCCGTGCGCTCTGTCATGCAAACGGAGCACAAACGAGCTGATTTGGTACTATAAGCAATACAGAGGAGGCTGTATACTGTATAGAACCAAATCAGCTCGTTAGTGCTCTCGTTTGTGCTCCGTTTGCATGACAGAGCGCACGGACAAAGACCAGACAGGCACATATCAACTAGTCTAAGGTAAAGGTAGTAAGAACATATGTCAGTATGTAAAAACGGTGAACTATTCCTTTAAGTTTCTTTCTGTTCTGATAAACAACATGTATTTGTGAATCAATAACTACTACGTACTCCGGCTTTAACATAATAAACAACATCTGTGTGTTTGAGTCATAGCACTCGTGCCTTGTAGCAGCAGTAGAAACACCACACTGGCTTGGGTAGCAAATCTGCCTGATGAGTGACTTGGATGGATTAGATGGATCTGTTCTTGCGGCTGACTTGAATCTTGAGGCTGTCACTCTACCAGCCCTCAAGTCAAACCATAGCTTTGACTGTCCCTGTTGTCGTGTCTCTTCCTCAACATGTACTGCCTACAACATTTAATATGCAAAAAGATAAATCATATATTATGATACAATCAATTAATAGGCTTAATCGATTCATATGTACCTGTTCGGGTGTGACCTCTATGTTGATGAAAGCATCATCGCATTTCACCATTAGGTCGGAAGCAGACAGCTTACGGTGATGAGGGTTGTACAACTCTGTTAGGGGCTGTGGAAGACTTAAGGATAACACTCTGGGTTGGAACTGCTCACAGAACTTTGGTAGCACACTCAGGAGACCACTCTTCTCTGAAGGACTTTGGGATGCACTATCCAGATCTTGGTAGAACTTTGCTATGGCACCTTCAGACACACTCGCTGTATGTTTCTGTTTTGATGTTTTTTTCTTAGATACTCCAGCTTGCTTTTTGGACGGATTTGTGAAGTCAATTCCTAACCCTTCTTCATAGAGTGCTTTGCCTGCTTTCACTGGAAGATGTCCCCATTGTCTTGGCCCATCAGTGCAACTTCGATCTTGAAGGAATTTTACTGCAGACTCAAGGGCATAGAGCAAGGCTGTGATGTGTGAGCACACCTCTCCCAGGCCTGCTTTACATGTGCAGTGGCCACACAACACTGTACCATCCTTCTGGAGAGACACCCAGGGCTTTAGGGGAGGTTCAGACAGTGCTTGGCTGTGGTGAACCTGAAATCACATGATAAAACATGTATGAAAAGGGAATAGCAAACAAAAATATTCCCTGTATTACGGTGTTTTCTCTTATGGGTTATTGCATCCTCTCATTATCGTGATTGGTTGGGAGATATTTTTGTCTGTTTTTTCTTTTGCTTTAGAGTTTAGATAAAGCAACCAAATCCATTTAAAAAATTGTTCCTATATCCAAATCTTTCCAGTACATTAAAAAAGTGTTTTAAGAAGCATGCCAACCTGGTAGCTAATAACATTACTGTCAAAGCCTGGAAAGCTAAATAATTGCTGTGGAAATATGAGACCATTAAGCCTGTTAAATGTAGATCTAAAAATTCTTTGAGACTCTTTAGCGAGTCGACTTCAAGAAACATTACCATACGTAATACATAGGGATCAAAACGGATTCATACTCGGGCGAGAGGGTTTCATAATGTTATGTGGATATAAATTCAATATATTTTTCAAAATGTGCCATTACCACCAACAATTGATTTTTTGCCCAAGGGTAAGAAGCTATTTATTGGGTTCATCTGGAAAATTCCAAAGCTCGAATAAGAGTGTCTTTATTAGATACCATATAGAAAGGGAAGACTAAAATTCCCCCTTATAATGTGGTATTATTGACCACACATTTAAGGTTAATTAAATTTTATTTTGAAACCAATAATGCTCCACAGTGGAGAGAAATGGAGTCTGAAGGTTTGAATCTACCATTACCACATTTTTATACTCAAAGTTTCTAATCTGCTAAAAAAGTACCAACCCAATCGTTAAGAACATAATTAAAATCTGTTTTAAAGTACACAAACATGTAAAAGAGCGTTGTAACCTGTCTCTATATACTTCAATTTGGGCAAATCAGTGTTTTGTTCCAGGGAGGGACAGAAGCTGTCTTTCAGCAGCGGGCTTAAAAGGATTAAAAAAGATACACCTTTATAAACCAAACCTAGATACTGTAATGGCCTGTGAGGAAGTAAGGTGCCAATTATTATAGATTTGATTAGTGCTTTTAGTAAAACATAGGGTTATACAATTAATAAATCAACATCTCTTCTATTGCTTAATGAGAGAGAATCTAAAGATTCACAAGCTATAACTTTTAAAGTAATGGATCACTTTATATACATAGGTATCTAAATTAAGCGTACGTTAAATTTCTTTACTAAAAAAGACATAAAACATAGTATTTTAAAATTTCTTCAGCTTAGAGGCTTCAACAGATCTAATCAAGATAGTTTAACTAAACCTCTGAAAAGTAAAATAGTTTGAGCAGAATATCTGAATTCAACTGACAATTCTGATTCAAGATTGAAGGCTTGGAATGAGGATTTAGAAACAAATATTGTAAAAGAGGATTGGGAATCAGCAAAAAAAACACATATTAGTGCAACAGTCTCCTACAATCCAAGTGGCTCATGAGAATGAGACATCAGAAAAATGGAATAGTTATAATGGAAATGTACCTGATGTATGTACTAGGTGGTAAAGGGAGTAAATGTACCTGATGTATGTAGTAGGTGTTAAAAAGAGTAAATGTACTGATGTATGAACTAGGTGTTAAAAGGAGTAAATGTACCTGATGTATGTACTAGGTGTTAAAGGGAGTAAATGTACTGATGTATGTACTAGGTGTTAAAAGGAGTAAATGTTCTGATGTATGTACTAGGTGTTAAAGGGAGTAAATGTATGATGTATGTACTAAAGATAATGTATGATGTATGTACTAGGTGCTAAAAAGAGTAAAAAAAAATGGTAAAGTAAATGTACTGATGTATGTACTAGGTGTTAAAAAGGGAGTAAATGTAAGGTATGTATGTACTAGGTGCTAAAAAGAGTAAATGTACTGATGTATGAACTAGGTGCTAAAAAGAGTAAATGTACTGATGTATGTACTAGGTGCTAAAAGGAGTAAATGTACTGATGATGTATGAACTAGGTGCTAAAGGGACATTGTTCCACTGCGTGTTGGGGATGTCCTGAGGTTAAAGGAGCAGTAGAGACCACTATATCTAAGGATATACACTTTTTATTTAGGAATCCTTCCTGGAAAACATGCGTTTACAAAGAATGAAAAAAAGTACTGATAGATATGTGTCTTTTACAAGCAAAGAGAAAAATTGCAATTTAGTGGAAAAAAAGTTCAAGCTGATGCTTTGGGTAAAATAAAAATGCTGATAGCATTTCCCCTTGAAAGAGTTACATGTTTTAGAAAAGGAAAGCTAGCAATATTTGAAACAAATGTGTGATCATACAAAGACATTGTAGAAAATCTAAATGTAACAAATGACCTGAGGACTATTTATAAATGACTGTGATCCTATATCTCCATGATGTGTTATTCAATATAGTGTTCATATCTTGTGGCACTGTGGGAAAGTGTCACTTCATATCTGTGGAGGTCTTATTTTATTGTATCAGTTATGTTTTTGTATGTGGGTGCTTGTTGTACCTTTTGTTCTTTTGTCTTCTATTTTCATTAGTGATACACTAAATGAGAACGAGCTACTTGGAGAATTTTAAATAATGTCATGAGGAACAACAAAATCACACATGAGTACACAAATTATTTTGTCAAAGGCAGAAATATCCAATAAAATAAATATATCAAATGAATTTTGTAGATACTTTACTCGTGTAGGAGACTCGAAAGAAAAAGAAAATTTCCAAAGGCAACATCTAGCAGTGAAATACAAAGGTAGATCCTGTGAACAGTATTTTTCTTTCCAATATGGAAAAAGACAAAGTATGAAAAATTGTGAATACATTTGTAAACAACCGACTCTGGCTCAGACATGATGCATCTGTAATTGAACCTTTTTACATACCTTTGCAACTTGTCACTAAAAACATGAACCTTTTCCTGAAAAAAAATGAAAACAACCAAATTATACCTCTTTACAGAAACAAACACAACTTCTCAAATTCTTGACCCGTGTCTTTGTTACTTTTTTCAAGATTTTTGAAAACTGTGGTATTTGCAATGTGAGTGGATAGCTTCTTACAAAAGTAAATGTGTTAATTCAAAATGAGTATGGCTTTAGGAAAAAACACTCAACTGCTGTGGGAATAATGGAACTGACAGAGAAAATATGCAGATACTTATGTTGTAAGTATCTTACTAGACCTGCAAAAGGCTTGCTCATACATGGATCTCTAGTTATCTAGAAAATCGTAAACAGTTTGTGCAGCTAAATTGTAAAAATAATAAATTACTCAATACCTATATTGTTTGTATGAATGACTTTCCAAAAGTATCAACTATTGTGCTGTCCTCACGATACGTGACCATGTGAAGCTGGAGCGAACGGGAAAGAAACTCTGTAGACAAGGCTTACTTTTCTTGTTTCATAGAGAATCTCTTGCGTATGGTTCATTGCATCCATAAATACAAAATATAAAAAAAATCACCGTAACTGCAACACTAGAAAAAACTATCAACGGTTGTGCACACTGAATTGCGTACAGCGCTAGCTAATCAGATATAGCCCAAACTTAACACTTTGCAGGAGAATAAAACACTTTTATGGCGCCTAACAATGTGCTTGTGAGATTAAATAATACTTACAAAGACGAAAGTTTGCCAAGGGTCAACACATGAAACAAAGATTGTTACAAAAACAAACCAAACAAGAGCGCTTACTTGCTCGACCAGGAAACTGCTGTCTTACTTTGTTTCCCCTTATATTTTAGCACAACAAACAACTATAGCTTATTATCACACTGTGCTGAAGAAGGCGCTGCGTGGCCCAAACACGCTGGTCCCTTCTCTGTTAAAGGACTTTTATCAGAGTGCCTCGGATTTCTCCCTGTCTTCATTTCCCATGGAAAAGGGAATCTTTGTTTTTAAATGTAACTTATTACATAGCATTTAAGAACGTGTTGCATTTTTAAACTTATAAATGATTGAATTATGTCTTTAAACTTGCAGTAAACATGACACTATATTACAAATAATCTTATTTGCTGGTGCCACAGCATTATTTTTGTTGTGGAAAAAATGTTGGAGAGTTATCAAAAAGTAATAAACAAAGAACTTGTCATAATAAAAATCTTAATAGGTTGGTGCAACTTAATAGGGATTTTTCCATGTAAACCAGTATAATGCAACTTAATAGGGATTTTTCCATGTAAACCAGTATAATGCAACTTAATAGGGATTTTTCCATGTAAACCAGTATAATGCAACTTAATAGGGGTTTTTACATGTAAACCAGTATAATGCAACTTAATAGGGTTTTTTTCATGTAAACCAGTATAATGCAACTTAATAGGGATTTTTCCATGTAAACCAGTACAATGCAACTTAATAGGGATTTTTCCATGTAAACCAGTATAATGCAACTTAATAGGGTTTTTTTCATGTAAACCAGTATAATGCAACTTAATGGAGATTTTTCCATGTAAACCAGTATTATGCAACTTAATAGGGATTTTTCCATGTAAACCAGTATAATGCAACTTAATAGGGTTTTTTTCATGTAAACCAGTATAATGCAACTTAATAGGGTTTTTTTTTCATGTAAACCAGTATAATGCAACTTAATGGGGATTTTTCCATGTAAACCAGTATAATGCAACTTAATAGGGTTTTTTTTTTACATGTAAACCAGTATAATGGAACTTAATAGGGGTTTTTCCATGTAAACCAGTACAATGCAACTTAATAGGGATTTTTCCATGTAAACCAGTATAATGCAACTTAATAGGGTTTTTTTCATGTAAACCAGTATAATGCAACTTAATAGGGTTTTTTTCATGTAAACCAGTATAATGCAACTTAATGTGGATTTTTCCATGTAAACCAGTATAATGCAACTTAATAGGGATTTTTCCATGTAAACCAGTATAATGCAACTTAATAGGGATTTTTCCATGTAAACCAGTATAATGCAACTTAATAGGGATTTTTCCATGTAAACCAGTATAATGCAACTTAATGGGGATTTTTCCATGTAAACCAGTATAATGCAACTTAATAGGGGTTTTTACATGTAAACCAGTATAATGCAACTTAATAGGGTTTTTTCCATGTAAACCAGTATAATGCAACTTAATAGGGATTTTTCCATGTAAACCAGTATAATGCAACTTAATAGGGATTTTTCCATGTAAACCAGTATAATGCAACTTAATAGGGTTTTTTTCATGTAAACCAGTATAATGCCACTTAATAGGGTTTTTTTCATGTAAACCAGTATAATGCAACTTAATGGGGATTTTTCCATGTAAACCAGTATAATGCAACTTAATATGGGTTTTTACATGTAAACCAGTATAATGCAACTTAATAGGGTTTTTTTTTACATGTAAACCAGTATAATGGAACTTAATAGGGTTTTTTACATGTAAACCAGTATAATGGAACTTAATAGGGGTTTTTACATGTAAACCAGTATAATGGAACTTAATAGGGGTTTTTACATGTAAACCAGTATAATGCAACTTAATAGGGATTTTTCCATGTAAACCAGTATAATGCAACTTAATAGGGTTTTTTACATGTAAACCAGTATAATGCAACTTAATGGGGATTTTTCCATGTAAACCAGTATAATGCAACTTAATAGGGGTTTTTACATGTAAACCAGTATAAAGGATAACAGTTTAAAGGATATCAGGAGCTTCAAATACTTCAGGAGTTTCAAAGGATTTTTCAGCTAAATTCCACATTAGATCTGTTCCGCAGTCAATCGCAATGGCTTCAGCCATTGCAAGTTTCTAGTTAGTTATTGACGTGTCTCCCTTAACTAAGCCATCACTGTTTGTTTTAGAATGAGCACGGTGTGACCCTACGCAGGTGTTACGTTAAGCTCTGTTCAATAAATAACTTTTGACAAACCAGGCAGAGGCTAACTATTCAAAATGACACCTCTTTGAAAAATACAGTGCAGTAACACCTTTCACCACTTGCTCAATAGCGCCGTCCCCATTCTGGGGAGTTCAGGGTGCAGTACCACCTTTTCACCACTTGCTCAATACCGCCGTCAATTATATCTACTCACGCTAACGCTAAACACAGCACTGCTTTTAGCGTATCCTAAACCCGGCAATGGGTCAACCCTCAATACGAAAACTGCGACTCCCAATGCAATAATTGTAAACGAGGAGTAATATAATTTCCCTCATGTTTTGTTTGAAGGATATAGCTTAAGATTGGCTGTGAAGGTAGTGGGTTCCTGCCTTGGCTACATGACTAACATCACCTCCTCTCTGCCAGCTACAAAGGGGAAATCTTGCAGTTCATGTTTCGCCACGAAGTCAGTGTGACGTCTTTTATTCCGTCGTGTTCGTACCTTTTCCATTACGAGAAGAGGAACATGTCCAGATACAACATTTACAGTCTTCTGGACTGGATATACGGCGGAGTGGACCCCAAATTCGAGGGCAATGGTGGCCCCGAGTGTGCCGCCTTCCTCTCATCTCAACAGCGGATCATTGAGACTTTTCTTGTCGTTGTCATATCGATAGTGGAAATTGGTGTAGCTTTGAAGAAAATTAGAATGTCCAATGACTTGAAAGTGGTCGGAAAAGAGTGCATAAAAGTAAAGGAGGACAGCATGGGGAAGAACCTGTTGCTGGTTGCGTTGTGCATGACTTTTGGGATTGAAGTTGGGTTCAAATTTGCCACCAAAACTGTGATATATCTACTAAATCCATGTCATGTCGTGACCATGATTCAGATTTTCCTCCTGGCATGTCCACCATGTAAAACTGCAATGGTTGTCTTCAGGTTGCAGGTCCACATGCTGAATGGTGCTTTACTGGCTCTAATGTTTCCTGTAGTTAACACAAGACTGCTTCCGTTTGAGAAGGAGATTTACTACATTCAACACTCCATGCTGTACCTGGTGCTGCTCTACCTGTTCAGGAAAGGAGGGGTGTACAAGCCTGAGCCACTGGGAGACCTCTGGTGGGCGCTGCTCTCTACGGGAATCCTCTTCCTGTACCACTTCGTCTTCCTGCAGTTCCTTGGCCTGGTCACAGAGGTCAACCTGAACAACATGCTGTGTCCAGCGGTGTCCGATCCCTTCTACGGTCCATGGTATCGCATTTTCGCAAAGGGACACCAGACACTGCTCACCCTAATACATGGCAAAGTCGTGACCTTCCTTTCTCAGCACACAGGCTCTTTCTGCAGATACATGCTGGACTCTATACGGTTGCGGGGGAAAAAAGTTAACTGAATGCAGGTGCTTGTGGATGAAGAGGGTTTTAAATGTTGCCTTCCACAAATCTTTTGTTCCATCTAAGGAACGTGCAAGATGCAAGGTTTGTAAATTTGCACCAGTGTTTTGTGTTGTAGACTTGCATAAAGGCTTGCATGCAAATGTTATAGGAATTATAAGCCCAGTTTCTTATTTTATACAACCATGTTTTATGCTTTTTTTAATTAAAGCCTTTTGCAAGTCTACTTGTGAGTCTACCTGTGAGTAATGGGACGGGGTTTTCCCTACTATGCTGATGTCACACTTAATTTATAGACGCTTAAACTGCGTTTTCAAATTCCTAAAGGCTTTGCTCATGTGAGCAATCATCATTTAATCAATGTTAAGTATTTTTTTCTTTTCTCTTTTTTCCTGTTGCCATTACTGAAAGTAGATAGTCCATGTGTGTACGGAGGCATTTTTACACTCTGATCATTCCGTTTAACAGTGAAGGGATTTCATGTGTATGTGTCTATACACGTCCCATATTGTGAAAGACTATCAATTTGAATTGTAATGCCAATATTTCAGTTTTGTACCCATGTCTGTTGAGATATATGTTCCGTAAGTCTGATTCATTTGAAATGTCACCATTACAGGATATCTTGCATCACTCCACGTGTGCAATAAAGGTTTTCTGTGGCATTTGCATGAAGTCATTTGATAGTATACTTCAAACGTAACATTGACGAGTTGTATGTCATGTTTTTATTACTGTAACATGTTTCACTGTAAGAAGGGATGCTTTGTCTGTGTGCTGTAGTTACCATTAACCATTAAAGTGGTCCACTTGGCAGATGTAAAAAAAAAAAAAAAAAACATGTGGCTCTTTGTCTCTGACTGGTTGGCCACCCCTGCCCTAGTGTTTACCAGCGCTGTAGAGGCTAGAGGACGCAGGCTGTTCGCTCCTCGTTCTGTGAGTGGAGGAGAACGAGCGGCCCACTAAGTCTCTACTCAGCACTTTTCACTGCCTAAATTCATACACAAGCTGAATCAATGAGCTCAAGTTTTCAATTAAATTACGGATTATAATACAACTTGTATGTAGTAATAAGCATTTTTATGAACTCCTTAGAAAAAAAATTGGGTATAGTTTCTTTAATTATATTTTTGTGGGTGTCGATTGTTCTATTGGACGAAGGTCTGTATGCGGATGATGGAGCATTGTGGTTAAGGGGGAGAAACCTTGAATTTAATGTAAAGAAGCTGCAAAGAGCAATACAGCAGGTGGAGGTGGACACTAGACTGGAGATTTAAATTGCGCTTTACAGTTTGGTTTAAAAACAATCCCGCCGACCCATGACCCCTACCCCCGGCCACCCAACAGACCCACCCCAAACCACATACGCAGACAAACACAAACAGACGAACTCACGCCTTCTCACACACCCACACTTACACACGCTCTCATGCACACACACACGCACCTGTAAAACAGTAAAACCATGATGAGAGACTTGGCAGGGTTCCGATGCAACCAGCTGAAAAAGCGTCATCCAAGGAGCCATCTGCTCCAGGAGCAGAGAGCCGCCTGTAGCCACAGGCTACAACTATCACACAATACATGAATAATAGCAATAACAATATAATAAATAATAAAAGATAAATAGAATACACTGTAAACCCTGACAAGTAAAGTTTACTTGAAAAAACCATGGAAATAAATTGCGTATTAACTTCACTTGAATTCCTCGAGTACATCGTTTATTTGATATTACCAAGTAAACTCGAGTGATTGCAATAAAGTTTAATTTTCTACTTATGCTCCGACCGGGATTCGTACTCAGTACCCTGTAGTTGAGAGGCAATGGTGCTACCCACTCAGACACCAAGCCACCCTGCCATTGTCACACCTGCCTCATAAAAGACTCTACACGTAAAAATGTCAAAAGTGAGGCTTACTTGAACAGAAACAGTTCAATTCAAAGAAAACCCTGAGTGATATAGGCAAGCTTTAAATAAACTAACAATAAATGAGTAATATCTACTTACTGGGAAAAATCTATTTAAAATAACTTGATATCTGAAGTAGGATTGAAGTTAGGGTTTACAGTGTAGATCAAATAGAATAATAATACTAATCAAAAGCTAGTCTAAAAAGGTGTGTCTTGAGCCTGCTTTTAAAAATATGAACGTTCTCTGCGGCCCTGAGCTCCTCCGGCAGACTGTTCCAGAGACGAGGGCGGTAGTGCTGGAAAGATGCCTCACCGTGAGTGTGTGTCCTGACTTTGGGAATAGTTAGGAGTCTGTTGCCGGAGGAGCGCAGGGGCCGGGAAGGTTCATAGGTTAAAAGCAATTCTGAAAGATAAGAAGGCCCAAGACCATTAAGACATTAAAAGAACCTTAAAATCGATCATGAAACACACAGGGAGCCAATGCAGCGAAATTAAAACCGGTGTAATGTGGTCCCGCCCCCCGGTCTTAGTCAGGACACGTGATGCCGAGTTTTGCAGTAACCTGAAATGTTCTTTTTGGGAAGACCAGAGAGCAGGGCATTGCAGTAGTCAATGCGACTGGTGAAAAAAGCATGCATCAGCGTCTCCGTGTTGCCCCGAGAGAGAATGGGGCGGACTCTGGCAATGTTCTTTAAATGATAAAAACCTATTTTTGTGATATTCTTCATGTGAGGAATAAAAGTCAGCTCAGAGTCAAAAATTACGCCCAGGTTTTTCACTTGGGATGATGGATTAAAAGAGTGTGATTGGAGTTTTGGTAAAAGTTTCTCTCTCTGGGCCTCAGGACCGGACCGATCACAAAAACCTCAGTTTTTTTCCTGGTTAAGCTGGAGAAAGTTTTCTGCCATCCAGGATGGCAGTCTAAAATGCAGTTAAAAAGAGCATCCATTGGCCTGGTGTCATCAGGAGACATGGAGATGTACAGCTGTGTATCATCTGCATAACTGTGGAAGTTAATTCCATGTCTCCCGATGACACCGCCAAGATGGAGCATGTACAGGTTAAAAAGGACTGAAGGATCTGTCTGTTAAATAGGAAGTGAACCATTTGTGGTTCACAAGTGATGTGTTTCTTCAGCCGTTACAAAGTAGTTTCTCTGAAACAATATGAATTAGCGCTTGAGCAAGTGAAGGAAACCAAGTTTTTAGGTGTAATTTTTGATGGAAAACTCACATGGCGTCCTCATATTGACAAAGTTCAATATGAATGTAAAAAAGTTAATAATTTATTACGTTGTTTATCTGGCCAGGACTGGGGAGGCAGTAGGAAATCACTATAGAGGGATCCTACGGTCACGTGACTAGCAGCCACGGCAGCCATACTGGAGGACAACCTGGGCGAGTAACAACCCTGCTAGCTATCTATAACTGGACGTTCAAAACTAGAACTCTCTCGAACTACATGAAAACTGAACAGAGAATTTGAAACTTCAGCAGTTAGTGACCCAAATATATACTCAACCTAAATCCATGAATCAGATCCTCTGGAAATGCATCCTAAAATGTATTATTAATGTTTATCGTTACATACAGGTTTACCGCGGTCGCATATTGTCGCATTAAAACCAGTGGCGGCCGGCCAATAGAAGGCGCTAGGGCGCCGCCCCACCACTCACAACTTGTCATGTTACCTTGAATAAAACGTTAAAAAAAATAATAACATTAAAATATTTCGAAATTTATGTGTGCTTTATTTCAGATGTGGAAGAAATACTTTATAGTTTATGCTGAGTTGGATTGATTAAGCTCATCAGCGTTGTCTGTGTCGGACTGAGCCTGAGGACGTATTTCCGCCTCAGGGCGCAAAAGATTGCGCCCTGAGCCGTCTATGGACTCTCGTTAAAAGTTGTACATGCGCAGTAGCTCCTCTTCAATGCAAGAGATAAGACGATTTGGGGGCGCAAGAGAAGTGCGCCCTGAGGGGGCGGGATCGCCCGCGACCTGTACTGTCACTGTCTGTGACGTCCGTTTACAGTGATTGACAGGTCAAGCTGTGGGAGTTTGAGACGAACGTAAAGAGACGCAAAATGGAGAACGAGAAAAAGAATAATTCAGTTAGATCACTCAAAACAATAGTGATGGCAATATGAAGCCCCATGAAGCCTTGAGGGATCGCAGCCTATTACTCGGCCCATGAGTCGAAGGCTCGAGGTGAATCATGCTCCACTACGCCATCATGTGGACAAAAAAATACATAACACTCTTAAGTGCTTACAATGAATGGTGAGATCTAATGTTAAAATGTATATTTACAATCTATGGTCTAACGTGTTGTGTTTGAAATGATGCTTCATGAACTATGAACTATTTGAGTCTTTCAGTCAATTGTGTTGATACAACAAACACATCCAAAGTAATACAGTTCTACAGAAAGTGATTAATGGAGGAAAAACTACCAAGAGGTGGATTAATTAAACACAACAAACCATTTATTCCCAATAAATAAATACATTTACTTTGCAACACAAAATTTATTATGGGTAGACCAGGATTCGAACGCTATATCTTCTGCTTCGGAGTCCGTCATATACCGACTGCGCCACACAGCTGTTGTGAAATGTATTATCCAGCGTATTATTACTAATAACTTGAAGCCTTGATATATGAGGTTTTACTAAAGTGAAACGTTTTTAATTGTATTTCATATGAAGTAGTTTCTCAGGACTGCTCCACATCACGCACACACACGTACGCACACACACGTACGCACACACACACAAGTACGCACACAGAGGCAGACGGGGACAGCCAATACAGTCTATGGTACAGCCGCGGATCACAAAGCACCTGTCAAAGCAATGCACTCTCCGAACTATATGAAGCACTATATGAACCGTCACGTGGTGCGGCCGCTACGCGAGGCTTCGAACGTCACCACATACGTCACCAACACACGCCTCGACCCACGCTTCAAAAAATACGCCCCTTTTTTACTCGGTACACGCTTCGAAGACCAGGTGTAACGCCACTACAAAACAATACCGTTTGAGAGAAGATCATACCAGGAGAAGGTTGAGGTTAAAGA